CTCCCACTATTGCCTGCAACATCTTCCACACTTGCCAACACCCACCTCAAGCTACAACACCACCAACCCTGCATGCCCTCTGCCCTGTCTAGTTGCTCACATCTAGTTGCTCACTCAAGACCCCTCCCCACCTGGACCAACAGCAATAGTTGTGTCACTCACTTCCGTCTTCTGTAATAACACCTTTTCTCTCATTCCAGCAGCAAAGCAGTCCACAATAGGACTGAAAGACTCAAGACAGGTGGTGTGCTGTAAATTGTTCGGCTCCTCATCCCTTATCAGCAAAGGATCCTGATCAGAACCTAGACTAACATTGGAGGCTGCCCTTTACTAACTGCACCCTTGAGGGGCAAAGCGCAAAAAGGTATTGCAAGGCAGGGATGCTGTGAGTGTTTTGGTAGGCTCCGAATGTGTGAGCGCTATGACAGTGAGCAAAGAGCCTAGATAATGCAGCCTGGTCCAATCTATGAGCTGGGTGCATGTCCCTGAGTGCAAACTCTCCTTGATAATTGCCAGTGCAGCCTGAGGTGTAGCAATAAAGTGAAGAAGTGTCCTGTAAATGGATCAAAGATGTGCCATGAAGGTTCACAGATGCCGCTACATCGGATGTCAATGTCTGTGGACACGTGAGTGCGTGTGGCCAGTGCCCATGGAATTTTCCAATGTTTAGGTGCCCGACATCCGACATGGAGGTTTTTGGAGCAAGTGGTGAGTTCAATCTGCTGAGAACCCACTCTGCTTTCCATATCAAGTTTTCCTGATGGCTAGTTTGTATTGAGAGTTTTATAAGTTCACAACCCATGATGATTTGGGCTCTTAACAAGGCATTTAACCAAAAAGAACATGTGCCAGTTGGGAATCTGCTGCTGCCAAACGAGGAATGCATACAAGATGTGGTGAGATGATTTAAGATTCTGCCCATCATATCTTTTGGAAGCATTGCAGTTGAATGAGACACATTTACAGAGTTAACAATTTAGTGTTCAAATGAGTTAAAGTAAATCAGAAGTAACTTGGAGACAATAAGGGCTGCAGATGCTGGAAGCCAGAGTCTATAGGTAGGAGGCTGGAAATGCGCAGCAGGTCAGACAGCGTCCAAGGAATGGGTAAGTCAATGTTTCAGGCCGAAACCCTTTATCAGGACTGATTGGCCTGAAACGTTGATTTACCTGTTCCTTGGATACTGTCTGACCTGCTGTGCTTTTCCAGCTTCATGACTATAGACTAAGTCAGAAGTAACTTAATTGAACGTACTTACGACAAGGAGTGAATAAAGCAGAAAATTTAAATCACTCAAATTTATTTCTTTTTCAAAGCTGCCAATGTACCAAACCACAAGTCGCAGAATGTAACATGATTAAGCTATTGCCAAATACTCTTCTAAATTGGGCCTCACGCTCTGAAAAGAAAAACGAGTCTTTGCAATAATTCCTCCATGGGCCAGAATCATTCAAGTTTGTAAAAAAAATGATTTTTATGCTTTTAAAGTCTAAGCAAGTGTTAAAATGTGGTTAGCAGTCCAAACCAAATTTATAATCTGGGTCTGTCCCTGTGGGGAGGGCAGGGGAAGCTGAAGCTACCCACCCACAAATGGCAAGTAGCCAATTAGGTCACATAAAGGCCTGATAAGGATACATTACTGACACAGGCTGGAATTTTCCAGTTGGCTGCTGAAAGAAAAATGGCTGAGGGACAGAGGTGACCTTGCTGAGGCAGACTTGTGGTCAACCTCTCCCTGGGATCTGTCATGGTCAGTTACAAACCCTTCAGGATCTCTCTCTGCTACCTACATCAGCTTCCATATTAACATAACAATCAGGGTGTTCAGTGAGTATTTGCTAATTATTGTTAATGATAATTCACACAATGAATAGTTTTTGAAAAAAATTACTTGAACTTCACGTGACTGAATGAAAGGATTGCACAAACAAATGAAAAACAGTGCTATCTAAACATGTTTCAGCAGGCAACTTATACTCTAAACTAGAGACAACAAATTTCCATTTAGCTTCCAATACAACTGAAGATCTTCTGCTATTCTTGTATTTTATGCTATCTCTTAAGTGTCCTCTGTATTCTCTGGAAATCAGTCCCAGTTTACACTTGGCTCCTGAGAGCTTGTTTCCTTTTTATTCTCCTAGCCAAGTAACTTCTAATCACAGAATTTAAGATTACACTGGAGATTCCTTCCAATAAGCCAAGTTAAGTGAACCTTCTGACTTTCTATAACTCTTCGCAAACTTTGATTTGAGCGTTAGCTCCCAGTCACGTTCTGTGTGGTGAATAGTAGTGTTAGCGTTTTATCTACTTCAGTTTCAGTACTGACTGCCTCTATCATCTACTGTCTGTCTGTCAATTTGCTACAGACTGTCTTGGTGTCTGACAGTTTCAGGGATATCTTGGAAACCCTGTTTACTTGAGGTTGCTATGGCTTTCAATGGACTTTCCCTTCTCAAAGCTCATCGCCATGGCAGTGTGACTCACGTGGACCTTGTCTCCAGGTAGAACTTTTAATTAGCTATCTTCTAGACACTTCCAACTCTATTCTCTTATGGAAATTAACAGACAGTTAATTCTGCTTTTTCTCCACAGATACTGCCAGACCTGCTGAGTGTTTTCAGTTTTTGCTTTTTGTTCATTTCCTTGTTGTTACCAGCTCATAGTTTCAGCAACATGGTAGGCAAAAATGTTTTGAGCAATAGGATACGAGATAAGAGTCTAACTACTGAAGAATGCAATTAGATGCCTGTTACAGAAAATTCTGGCACACTTGAGTATATTGAAGAAGATATAAACAGACAGAGCATCAGGAAATAATTATAATAATGGGAAACAATTTGATAAACAGTGGACTGGCAATTTTTTGTATCTTTTGAGAAATGTATGGAAAGATCACTACTATTTAATTGTGTGGTACATAGTAACAATTCCTGTCACAGCATAGCCCTTCCAGCTTTGCACACAGTGAGATACCATTGAAGAAGATAAACTTTTGATAATTAGATAGGGAAGAACATAGTACATGTCCAATTATTATTCTATATTCTATAGAGTGTTTGAATATATCATTGGAAATAACCTGTAATTATGCAATGTTTGTAGGTCTCAAGCATGTCTGGATTATTTCAGGGTAAATGAGATACTTTTGGAGTGTCATTACTATTGTGTGAAAATTAGTAGTCAATTTGAACAAAACAAGGCCCACAGACAAAAAAATTAGACAAATGTCAAAATAATAGGTGTAATTTTCCCAGTTACTGAATGATGTAGGCATTGATCAGAAAATTGGAAAAATCCTGTGAGATCGACAGTTATGAGATTTCCAACGTCAGGAGCAAAAAGTGAGATTCTCCATCATGAGCCTTTTTGCATAGATTAGCAACTAGAACAGCAACGTGAGAAAATAGAAGGCAACAGTTTCTGACGTAAAAGTCTTGAGTGGTAACCTCATAATTCTGGCCCTCCATCTTGGACACAGGCACCAACATCTCAGGGCAGGCTCCATGGGAGCAACCACCTGCACACATTTTCATTCCATCAGGACCACCAGGTTCCTGTCATCAAAGTGGGATGACAACTTTCCTCCATCCAGTGTGTTTGGGCCAATTGACAGGAACTGTGCAGGCAGCTGATTGTTGGCTTGGTGCATGTTGGGCTTTAAAGATATTGCTGGTGCCAGGGATCCTGGCTTGTCCAGGCAGTAGCCAGAGCTTCTGCCAACGAGACGTGATGTAAAATAATGAGGTGAGTTCAGAATTATAACATGGAAAATATCACAAGACTTCAGAGAGAGAAATTCTCCATAAAACACACCAAAATTGACACTTAGCCAATTTCTGGTAAGTTTCAGACAAATATGTTTTGTCAGTCTCAGTGATAAATATTGGCCAGAACAAAGGAAGAACTATGTCACCATGAGGTCTACTTTGCTTACCTGTACTTTCAAATGGGGTGGAAAATATGATACTACTACCTATGCAGTGCTGCTTTAATACTGTACTGAAATGTCAGTGTGGATTATATGGACGAGACCTGAAAATTGAGCTGAAATGAATTGAGCAGCTATCCTTGGATGTCCAAAGTCTCCATCATGCTTACCATCAAGGAAACATAAATGAAGAATGTAACTTGTTTAACTAGAATAGACAAAAAAACTGATGTATTCCTAATGAATAAATAATGGTGTTAGAGAGGTTTTTGGTTGAAATACCCAAAAAGCATTTCAAAGGGCACTGTTAGCTGAATAAAGTATAATGAAACATTTACATGTAATTCATATATTTGTTAATTTACGTGAGTACTTTGAATATATGTTGTGAACAATTATTTTGCTGTGATATCTGTTTGCTTTCGGTACTGTGAAATCATTGTGAAGACTTATTTATACAGTGAACATTTCGAGCTAGTTAGTGGGGCATTTTAGATTGCTCTTTCAAAGACCTATAGAAGAAAATATTGCTTTGCTTCCCTTTTCTTCCTCAGCAATACCTATTTTCCTGCAAGATTCACTATTTTGAATTGGTGGCAGTTGAAACTACTTTAAATTGCATCTTTGATGGCTTGATGCATTTTCACAGGACAGGACTGACTGACAGGTTCACATTCTTGTGCATCATTATGTCTGACCTTGGACAAATGAGGTCAACTGACTGAATTGAGACAACACCCCAAATCCTTTAGAAGTACACTTCAAATAAAAATCTAGAACATTCATTTTTGATTAAAGAAAAATGTGTGTCCTATAAGCAGGAAATGGAGCTTGGAAAACCTGACCTGGACAAAGAAAAAGAATTTGAAAAGTTTTCCTCAGATGTCTTGACAATTGATAAGACAATTTCATTTTGTCTAACGATTTTCTGAGGTTGAGGTATGTGGTCAAGTTTCGGAAACAAAATAAGTAACTCCGTTTATAACAGAATACATTTAGTTTTCATAAGAGTTGGTGAAAAATGGTTAATGCAAGACAGATCCTGCCTAAATACTGTACAATTCATTTCCAGGTTATTGGTCTCATTGATGTCTTCACACCAGCTCTTACACTGGATGGATTTACTGATATGTAAGTGCTGTGAAAATATACAGTGTATGTCACATAGCAGCCAAAATCACATCAAGCCGTTAAGATTATCAGTTATGCAGTTTCCATGCAGATAATGCTTAATCAGATAATACCTGAGAATGACAACCAACTCATCTTATTACAAGGAATGATATACGTTAAAATAAGCATTGGTCTGGGATTGAAGTGGTGACCCACAGCTGAAATTTGATAGCACGCCTTCAGAAGAATGATGTTTCATTATGCATTGCTTTTGTATTGTCAAGTCCCTGAGATCAATGATTGCTTTTTCCCAGGTTGCCTTTGCCCAAATTAGTTTAAGTGTTGATTGGTGTTTTATGGCTTAAAATTTGATAGAATTGGAATCAAGGATTGGTACATTATACTAGATTATTTTTAAATAGCTGCACTGATCTAAACACATGTAATCCGATTTTCAAGTGGTACACGTTGACTGAATTTATGTAGCTAATAGTCATTTAATGTAAACAATTGATCACTTTATCTTGAATTATTTTGTCTTTAGCTACTTAGTTATGCCGTTTATGGATGCTGATTTGAGCAAAGTCATGGGAAAGCTAACAGAAGAAAAAATTCAATATCTTTTATATCAGATATTGAAAGGTCTTAAGGTAAGAAACAAAAAGATATTGATAACTTGATTTTTTGGAAGCATTGTTTCAAAGCATTATGAAAAGCATAAAAATAAATATATAAAATGAAAGTACAATACATTATAACTATTTTAATGCACAAATATGTAAAAGCAACATTGTGCAAGTTGAGTCATGTCAAATGGCCTTTTGCTCATTTTCTGAATGGTATCAGATACTATGGTAATGATGAATCACTGAGTCAGCCCTTGCATAAATGCGTGAAGGGGAACAACAATTCAGTACCCTAGTAATGAGAGCAGACAAGTGGGATTAATTGGAAAGTTCTACAGATGAGCAACACAGACACTTCAGAGCGGATGACGTTCTGTGATTCCATGTAAAACATTAACATTATTAAAATATAATGCTTTTGCTAATGGACTGCTTCAGAAAAATTGTTGTTTCCTGTCTTTTTCCTGTCTTTCTTATTGAATGCCTTTGCATTTCTCCTGTTGGACCTTCACTTGTTACATTGTGAAATGTATGCTGAGATTTCAGTTATGAGGATTTGCAGGCTCATTTACAGTATTAATATTATTTTCAATAGTGGTGTCTAAACATTTATTAAGGATGAAGCCATCGAATGGAACATCTGTTGGTGCCCAGTAAAGACAGATATCATTGTGCTACATGAATTCTATGAAATACAATTTTTTTTTAACACAGTCAGGCTTCTTTGCATATGTAACGTACTCTCTCCATCTATCCTTGCCTTTATTTTGCTCCTAGCAACTAAATCAGATTTCTCAGTTTTCAAAGAAAGAGATTTTGTGTCCACAATCAAAAGGAAACATGCTGCTTGAAAGCAAGATTCATTATAATGTTGTGCTGTTTAGATTTGCTGGATTTCCCTTTTGATTTTCTGAAATTCTAGCTGAATCATAAGAAAATGTCTGCATCTCAGTGTGAACAGCCGGGATGTTCCCGCTGTCTAAACTAGGAATCTCAGTGCGAACAGCTAGGATGTTCCAGTTCTCTGAACTGGCAATCTCAGTGTGAACAACTGGGATGTTTCAGCTGTCTAAACTGGGAATCTCAGGGGGAGCAAGGATTGATTAGGGACAGTCAGCATGGGAAACTGTTTCTGACAAACTTGATTGAGTATTTTAATGAAGTAGCCAATAGGATTGATGAGGGCAGAGTAGTAGACGTTGTTTACTTGGACTTAGTAAAGTCTTTGACAAGGTTCTACATGGTAGACTAGTTAGTAAAGTTAGAACACAAGGGTTTCAGGGTGAGCTTACCAATTGGATACAAAATCGACTTCATGGTAGGAGACAGAGTGTGATGGGGGAGGGTTGTTTTTTGCATTGGAGGCCTATGACCAGCAGTGTTCCACAAGATTGGCATTGGATCCATTTTTGTTTGTCATTTATATAAATGATTTGGATGAGAATGCACGAGGCATGGTTAATAAGTTTGCAGATGACACCAAAATTGGTGATATAGTGGACAGTGAAGAAGATTACAAAGAGATCTTGATCATTTGGGTCAATGGCTGAGGAGGGACAGGTGGATAAATGTGATGTATTGCATTTTGGTAATACAAAGGTAGGACTTATACAATTAACAGGAGGGCCCTGGGTAGTATAGTAGAACAGAGAGACGTAGGATTCAGGTACATAACTCTTTGAAATTTGTGTCACAGGTAGACAAGATGGCTAAGAAGCTGTTTAGCACACTTGCCTTCATTGCTCAGACTTTTGAGTATAGGAGTTAGGACGACATGTTGAGGTTGTGCAGGACATTGGTGAGGCCTCTTCTGGAGTACTGTGTGCAGTTCTGGACACCTTGTTATAGGAAGGACATTATTAAGCTGGAGAGGGTTCAGAAGAGATTTGCCAGGATGTTGTTGGGATTGGATAGTTTGAGATATAAAAAGGCTGGGTCATTTTTCACTGGAGCGAAGGAGGTTGAGGGATGACCTTATTGTGGTTTATAAAATCATGAGGGGCATGGATAAGGTGAATGACAAGGGTCTTTTCCCTAGGGTGAGGGAGTTCAGAACTAAGGGGTATATTTTTAAGGTGAGAGAACAACTTAAAAAGGACATGAGGGGCAACTTTTTTTACACAGAGTGGTTCATGTGTGGAATGAACTGCCAGAAAAAGGGGTGGATGTAGGAACAGTTACAACGCTTAAAAGACATTTGGATAAGTTCATGAATAGGAAAGGTTTGGAGGGATAAGGGCAGGCAGGTGGGACTAGTTTAGGGAACATAACCGGCATGGACTGGTTGGACCAGAGGGTCTGTTTCCATGTTGTATGACTCTGTGATTCAGTGGATAGATTAGTTTGTTGGGCATTGCTAACCTTTAGGCCCAAGATCATGAGAAAATTTATGTCAATGATGCTGTTTTTGTGTTGATCTACAGTGGGAGCTAAATATGTAATGAAAAGAAATGTGAAGTTAATTGTTGCCAAGTCATTCCTACTCATTAGAACATTGAGAACATTAGAACATTGTGCTAAGTGGGATTTTGCTTTTTGACATGAATTCATAAGTAGAGATTATGTAAAAGAAAAGAAGATAAGCAGCACTAAGAAAACACACATGGAAGTTTTCATCATGGCTCATGTTGTTGTTGATAATAGCCCAGGCCTTTTTTTTGTATGTTAGGATAACATTCAGAAATACAATCAGAAAATAAAATGCAAAAACATCTTTAACACTGGTTTATGAGACCCCAGGAAGTCCATTATACCAGGATACCATTGGGCATTTCAGACATCTGGTCCAGCAGCACAGTTCAAGTAGTGGCTATTGAAATCTATCTGAATTTCCACGTTTAAGGCAAATGCTGCATGATTATATGATGCCTGTTCTATTCTGTTTTTTTTTAAGAAAGGGCTGCTGTGATGACCATCTCCCTCCAAAGGGAGACCCTGGCAGCAAATTGCAAATATTCTTATCTCTTCTAATTTTGAGGATAATTCAGAAAGATGTGAATGCTGTATGGATGTGGCCATCCTTCATTTTTTCTTTTCTCTTCTAATAAGCTGTAGGAATTTAGAGCAGTCAGTGTGCCAAATTGGGCTCATGAAACTATTTTGTATTACTCTGTAACATAGCATGTTTGCAGATCGATGCTACACCATGTACTTGCCTTATGGATTTTTTTCCATTTCATCTATTTCGAAACTACTGGCCCAATTTTAATTCACAAAATCCCTTTCACTTGCACAGAATTTAAACTGAACTTTCTGATTTGATGAATTTACTATGATTAAAACAAGAACATTTTAATTAAGTGAAATAATTATAACAATATTTTGATGATAGATATTGTTCATTTTTCTTTCAGTATATTCATTCAACTGGAATAATCCATAGGGTAAGCTGATTTAAAATATGTCTTATTAGGAAGAATATAGAGAATCGATGTATCACCTGGGGGAAAGTTTCATTTATCTGTTATATATTTGGGTAATATGTAGAGTACAAAGCTGTCTGACTTGTGAATATCTGCTTCAGATGGTTGTGGAGGTGGGGGAGTGTGATCTATAGGGACAATGGTTCATATGTATTATATTACTTAATATGTTAGAAAATAATAAAGCCCATGTTATTGATAGAAATAATTTCTGTTGATCACTAGACTATTATGTACTTGTACTTAATCTGCTGTAATGGGTTCACCATTTGGCAGCCTTGTAAACAAAGCACATGTGACTTTGTTTTGTCCTGAAGGTGTGTAACTTGCTAGAGGCGGGAGGTTGAGAGGTTTATAAAAATACAGTAGATTGCAGTCTGTGTCCACCTGTGAAGCTTCACAGCCTTCTTCCAAAAGCAGGGGTTGACTTCAGCGGCAAGTATAAGATGTGTCAAACCAGGCAGCAAAAAGGAATGTAAATATTCGGCCTTATCTTCGAGACACAGAACAAACGTAGATTGCTTACATGGAAAGACACAAAAGCTGAACTGTTCTTGGGAGAGGAATATTTTCATTATTTTACTTGCGAAATTCAGTTTGATCCAGTGTCTTGCAGTGCAAAACTTGTGCCAAAATAAATCACTTTCTGACCATCTAACCGTACTCAGCATGGAACCAAGTGATGTACCCTATATTAAATTCCATTGCAAAATTCAAGGAATTTTCCTTCCTGTATTATAAGCCATAGTAAATAAACAAATTAGGTGATCATTAATCTGTATTTGACTAATTGAGATGCGTAACTCCATAGAAACTGTTTGCAAATCCATCGAAATCATTCATGTTAGCTCATCTGAAAACTATTCATTTATTAACACAACACAGACTTTTTTCAAATGTGCACCAGCTACAACTGCCATTAAAGCACTTTCACTCTCCATCAGTATCTCTACCTTGAATTTCATTGAATGAAAAAGTCCCAACAAAACCACTGTAGGTTATGGCAATCCCCGTTGGTATGGGAAAATATACTGCCCATAGAACTTTGACCACTGCATAGTTTTATAATTCACATAAACGGTAAGAAAAGTGTTAATAATCAGGGCAAAAAATGCCACATATATTTTGCTGTAAATTCTTAATGTGGTTTTAATAAATTGCTTTTTTAAAGTTGTAAATCATCTTTTTTCATGAAACTATAAAGTTCAGTGTTGTTTCCCCAAGGTGTGTTTGAATTGATACAGTCATTCTGCATTTCTCATTTTTAACAATTGATGATTTTGAAACTGTAATAAACCAGGAACTGACAAAATTTATTATCAGAAGTGGCTTGGGGGTCAGAGGGTGAGATGCTTGATTTATATGACGAATGTAGACTCAGTCAAAAGTTGCAGAAAATGGGAACAAAAACAAAATTGCTGGAAAGGCTCAGCAGGTCTGGCAGCATCTGTGAAGGAAAAAACAGAGTTAACGTTTCGGGTCCGCTGACCCTTCCTCAGAGCAGAAAATGGGGCTGCCTTATACATTGGGGCAGCTTATACAGCACTCTTTATAGTATTAATTACCAACTTCTTACTTTTTGTGTGACCGTGGACTGGAAACATAAGGGTGGTAAGTGGCTTGAGCTGGCAGCTTTTGGTCCTCATTGGCATCCTATTTTGCTGATCTGCTGTAGAGCTAAACCAGTGTCATAAATTCAGTCCTATGTAAGAGTTTTTTTTATCATGGATGTGCAACTCAGAATTCCAGAAGGCTTTGAAACTTGTATTGCTTTTTAAATGGAGGAAGTACAGTGTAGTATAAATTTAGCTATCACTCTTGCTTCTGTATAATTTTAGTTCTTCATAAATACAGAATCATGAGTTTGTTGGCCAATGCCGACTGTTTATTACTCTTGTGTTTTCTATCACTTGGGGAAATCTGGAAATGTGGCATCCACTACAGCACCTGGCATGTATTCCATTAGTGAAATGTCCATTGTTCACTCCAAAGGCTTGCTGTGCTGCATGTTTTATATATTAATGCCACTTTTTAGTTTCTAACAAGGTCATATTTGAGCTACACTGGTTGGCATTGCACAAGATACTCAAGGAGGAGAACCAGTATGAGTCAGTAACAAATGTAAATTGACAATTTGTGTTCAAAGGAGCCAAAACGTATTGGCTTGATTCTTGTGTTATAAAGCTTTCTTGATTCTGTTCCACTGTACTGCTCAATGTCATTGCTGCTGCAGGGAAATAGGGTAGGAAGTCTTAATTACATATTTCAGCCACTGTATCCAACTTTTGATACGTTCTTTACAATCTTATCTTCCAAGCAGGAATCTGTATCCTACTACGTTTCAGTGTCTGTGAGGGATAAGAAACCAGTCAATATCCTTGTCTTGTAAACTAAAGTATTACAACTTGTCATAAAGATAGAAGAGGAGCGAGATTGGGGCTAGTGGTATTGTTACTGGACAACTGCTCCACAGACTGTGGCTAATGCTTTGGGGTCATTGATATAAATCCCATCACAGTTGATGGCATTAAGAGCTAGTGCAATGTTAACCATTGTTGATTGTCATAAAAATTCATCTGGTACACTAGGGAAGGAAATCTGCTGCTTTTTGCCTGATCTGGCCTACATGTGATTCCAGATCCATGGCATTGTAGTTGATTCTTAACTGTCACCTGAAACGACACAGCAAGCCATTCAGTTGTATTTAATCATGACAAACCTGATAAAAGGAATGAAACCAGATGGGATACCAAGTCACTGGATAAAGCAAAGCCAGTTAGTAATGTCCAGCTCTGTGAACGCTGCTTCTCACTAACATCTGGGGCCTATGCCAAAGTTGGGAGAACTGTCGCCCAGATCAGTCAAATAACAGCCTGTCATGGCCCTCTGAATTATATCTTACAATATCCCAGATGCCATCAGTGTAGTTCAAGTGCCTTCCCAGCAGCACTGCAACATGCAGTCTCTCTTTGTCCAACTGACTGTGTAACTTTTGAAGTCCTCTTCAGTGAGACATGAACTCTATGACCTGGTGAAAACCTTACAATAAAAACTCCTCCCCCTCCCCATTGTTGGGTGAAACTGAACATTACAAATGTTTTGAAACAGTGAAATGTAGCACCCTTGGAAGTGAGTGAACCCTGAAGGATACATTCTCACAGAAAACTGGAATGAATTTAATCACACAATGAAGACTTGTGCTTCAGGACTAGCTGTGCCCCTTACCAAGCTGTTCCAGAACAGTTAGGATACTGGCATTGACTTGGCAACCCATAGCTGAGATATTAGTGTCATTGACAGCCACGGGTGAGGTGCTGGAAGACCAGAGTGTGGCTAATGTGGTGCCATTATTTAAGAAAGGCTGCAAGGGAAAAATAGGGAACTACAGACTGGTGAGCCTAACATCAGTGGTGGGTAAGTTGTTGGACAAATTTCTGAGAGGCAGGATCTACATGCATGTGGAAAGGCAAGGACTGGTTAGGGATAGTCTATGGCTTTGTGCATGGGAAATTGTGTCTGAAATATTTGATTGAGTTTTTTGAAGAGGTGATCAAGAAGATAGATGAAGGCAGAACAGTAGATAGAATTTAAATCAGATAAATATGAGATGTTGTATTTTGGTAAGACAAATCAGGGCAGGACTTATACAGTTAATGATCGGGCCCCTGGGGATTGTTGTCGAACAGAGAGAGACCTGGAGGTGCAGGTACGTAGTTCCTTGAAAGTGGCATCACAGGTAGACAGGGTAGTTAAGAACATGTTTGGCATGCTTGCCTTCATCAGTCAGAGCATTGATTATAGGAGTTGGGACATCATGTTACAGCTGTACAGGATATTGGTAAGGTCATATTTGGAATACTGTATACAATTCTGATCACCTAGCTATAGGAAGGATGCTGTTAAACTGGAAAGGGTGCAGAAAAGATTTACAAAGATGTCACTGGTACTGGAGGGATGACAGCGACATTTTTCCTTGGAATGTCGGAGGCTGAGGGGTGACCTTATAGAGGTTTATAAAATCATGAGGGTCATAGATAAGGTGAAAGTGTCTTTTCACGGGGTAGGGGGAGTCCAAAACCAGAGAGCATAGGTTTAAGGTGTGGGGAAAGATTTAAAAGGGACCTGAGGGGCAATGTTTTCACACAAAGGGTGGTACATACATGAATGAGTTGCCAGAGAAAGTGGTAGAGGTGGGTACAATCACATTTAAAAGACATTTGAACGGGTATATAGATGGGAAAGGTATAGAGGGATATGTGCCATACACAGACAAATGGAAACCTGGTCAGCATGGACGAATTGGCCTGAGGGTCTTTTTCTGTGCTGTACGATTCTACGATTTTAAATGAAAAATTGCCCAGGTATGTGCTGTCCTCAAAAAGCAGGACAAATTCAACCAGGCCAATTACTACTGCTCTTTCAGTTTACTCTCAGTTGTAATTAAAGTGATGGAATGTACTGTTGACAGTGACATAAAGCAACACTTAGCAATAACCTGCTTGCTGATGCTCAGTCTGGGTTCTGCTAGGGTCACACAGCTTCTAACCTCATCACAGCCTTTGTCCAAACATAGTCAAAAAAGCTGAATTTTTGAAGTGATGATAACTGTCTTTTACATTGAGGCAGCATTTGACAAATCAAGGATCCCTAGTAAAACTAGACTCAGTGGGAGTCACAGAAAATATTTCCCCACTGATTGGAGGCATTTGAAACACAAAGGAAAATGATTGTTGTTTTTGGAAGAAAGCTTCTCACTTTCTTTGGTCATCTCTGCAGGAGTTCTTCAGGATAGTGTCCTCAGCCCAAACATGTTCAGCGATTCCATTAATGACCTTCCCTCCATCACAAGGTCAGAGGTAACAATGTGCAAACATCAGTGGACAATGATCAGTATCGTTTGCAACTCCTCAGATACCGAAGCAATCAGTGTCCAAATGTAGCAATACCTGGACAATAATCCTCATAATCTGTTCCACTCGCTCCTCCTTCCCATCTATCTACGGCATAACAAACACAATTTTTCAACCCCTTTCCGTTCTGAAAAAGGGTAGTTTGCAGCTGCAAAACTTTGCTTTAACCTTGACAAAATCCAGGTTTAGCAAGTAATGTTCGCACTACACAAATGCTCAGCAATGGCCATCTTTAACAAGAAAGTATCGAATGATCACCCCTTGACATTCAGTAGCATTACCATCATTGAATACAGTATTATCAACATCCTGTCGACTACCATTGACCAGAAACTCAACTGGAATAGCTATATAAACACAATGGCAAGAAGAGCACATAGAGGCTAGGAATTCTGTAACGTGTAACTCACCTCCTGACTCTTCAAAGCTTGCGCACCATCTACAAGAGAAGTTAGGAGTGTGATGGAATACTTCCCATTTGCTTGGATGAGTGCAGCTCCAATAACACTCAGGACACTCTACATCATCCACGCCAAGGCATCCTGCCTGATAGGCAGCCTATTCACCACCTTCGGCATTCACTTCTTCCAAGTCCAATGCACAGTAGCAGCAGTGTGTAACATGTATACGATGCACTACATGACTCACAACAGCTCATTTGACAGCACCATCCAAATCCACAGCCTGTGCCATCTAGAAGGCCAAGGACAATAGTTACATAGCAATATCACCACCCTTCAAGTCACATATCGTCCTGATTTGGAACTACTTCACCCTGAACACAGCACTGACTTGGGCTGCTACTTGGGTTGAGGCTGGCTTGGTCTAGTGGACTGACCTCCTGTGATGGCCCACAGAAAGGTTGGCCCTCCTCAACCACCAGCGTTTCTAGCATGTAGAGTCTGAATAGTGTGCAGCCGTGTTTTAAATATGCACCAGTGTTGTAAAGATTTCTGACAGTTGTGAGCATGTCCACCTGTCTGGCAGTGTGATTCTCTGAGAAGAACACTGAGGAGCCAGATTAATGAGGTGAAGAGCAGACAAACGTGTGAAAAAAGTTGCTGTGAGCCAAAGCATACCGCGAATCACGTACGGCACAACACTTACGGCAAATGGGAAAATTCAATCCATATTCCTCATCTCCAAAGGGCACCCTTCATATATAAATAATATGTGATATTATTTTATTTCCAATACTAGGCATTTCTATCATGCCTGTTTTTACAATATTCAAGATTAGTATGGCCCTTGCCAATTCTCAATACACCAAATCGGGCGATGTACCATCCTTAGCGAATTTTGGAACCCTTTTCCTGGTTGTAGCCATCTGCACAAGATTTGAATATCAAACTTAGCAGCATGTTTCTGACAGTAGTGTTTTGTTAGTTATACTGCCGAACCATATTATTTCAAAAAAATTATTTATTTGATTTTCAGTATTTTCTTGCTACCTTCCCAGCTTAAGACAGTGGATTTTAGACTCCATCAATGGAATGGCTTGTTTAAACAGAGGCTGTTTCATATCGTATGATCTGGTAATTTCCTATGGATTGCTTAAAAAAAGTTGCTCACTAATTTTCAGATTTAGCACAATTCTTTCCATGTATGAACGTATGAAATAGGAGCAGATGTAGACCATTCAGCCCTTTGAGCCTGCTCTGCCACTCAATAAGATCATGATTGATTTGTTTGAGTTTTGAATTCCAGATTCCCATCAATTCCAAACAACCCTGATTACACTGCCTGACAAAAATCTATCCACTTCTGCCTTACAATTATTGATTGCCTCCATCGCCTTCTGAGGCAGAGTTCCAAAGTCGCACAACCCACTGAGAGAAATCAAATTCTCCTCATGTCTGTTCTAAAAGGTGACCCCTGATTTTAAAATAATGCCCCCTAGTTCTAGACATACCCACAACAGGAAACATCCTTTCGATGCCCACCTTATCAAGGCCTGTTAGGATCTTGTACATTTCAATCATGTCACTCGTCACTGTTCTAAATTTCAGTGGTAACAACCCTGGTCTGTCCAACCTATCTTCATCAGACAGCCAAATCATTTCCAGATATCAACATAATAAACCTCCTCTGAACTACTTCCAGTGCATTTACATCATAAATAAGGAGCCCAAAACTGATCACCGTTTTGGATAGGTGATCTTGCCCTGTATAACTGAAGCATAACCTCTTTACTTTTATATTCCTTTCCTCTCCTAATACAGGTTGGCATTCCATTAACTGGCTTGATTACCTGCATACTAATGTTTTTGTGACTTGAGTATAAACACCTACATTCCTCAGCAACTCAAAGTTCTGCAGTCGTTTTCCTTTTAAGAAATTGTCAGCTTATTTTATTCTTCTTGTCAAAGTAGACAACTTGATATTTTCCCACACAATTTCCCATCTGCAAGATGTTTTCCCACTTAATCTATCTGTATTTATCTGTGAGTTCTGTATGCCGTCTGCACAGCATACTTTCCAACCTATCTTGATGTTGTCTGTGGATTTAGATATCATGTCTTCACTGCCCTCACCTAAATTATCAATATCAATTTTAAAATGTCAAGACACTGACAGGACTCAGCGCATCATATCCTGCCAATCAGACAAAGACCCATTTATGTATACTCTGTTCCCTACAATGATGAGTTGATGATGAGAATACTTTGACACAACTGCATATTGCTTTCGATATGAATGAAATCAACATTTATTGATGTTTTTTACCCTGTTGTAGAATTTATAGTTTATAAAAGTATTGAAGGATCAAAGTATCAAGAGCAAAAGAAAAGCATTTTAATTAACTTAAAATAAACTAGTCAGGCAATGCTAAGCTTGAATCCTAAAATCCTAAAAATTTGAGGGGGTAAGAAAGACTGAAATAAGTTCAAAAATCCACAATTTTAAAGCCTTGGAATGAATAACACCTCAGTATTAGCTTTGGAACTTCGAAACAAATAAGAAAGACCAGAATACCAACTAAAAAGTAAGAAATGAGAGGGTAAGATTAGGTGGCAGTGGTGAAAGGAGAAGAAGTACGATCATGACAATGTGAATCTGAAAGGTTTGTCAAGATATTTGTCAAAGCAATGCTTACCTAAGCAAGTATACGCACACACATATACACACCATATTTTTATAGTGTACAACTGATATTTGGAACAACACTGTGAAACAGCCTTCTTACAAAAAACAACGCTGTACTTTCTTACTGGTGTATTGAAAACCAAGGCTGTTTCCAGTAGCAACAGTACTTGTTGTGTTTTATAAAATGTAAAAGCAGAGTAAGCAGCTTGTGTTCTGATGAGTAGCAGACCCTGATAATCAGGACAGGTCCACTGGATTGTATAATTATAATACCCAGTCTTTTCTGATTGTGAAACACAAGTAATTTACTGGTGATGATTAATAGATGAAAAAGTTCCCTATCATTTATTTGCTATAAAGAAAATCCAAAACACTGAAAAATTACCATTAAAAATTAGGGTTAGCACAATAACTTTGAAGGTATTTTCATTGACAAGATAGAATTTATTAATTTTACTGTTTGATGTTGAAAATTACTACTTACAAAATATTAAATGGAGTATGACACTGCTTTCGTCACTGGAAAATTCAAATTTACTTAGAAGTTATCAGTCTCTTAGGGCATCATAACAAATTCAATGTAAATTACCCCACATTATTGCATCTGCTTAGTTGCAAATTATGATATAGTCCAAATAATGTTCCATAGAATGCACTTTATATTAAATAATTGTTTGATAGAATAGAACTTTATTGCTGCACAAAGACACAATTTGTCAAAGATTTTCATCTTGCATTCGTCCGGACAATTCACAAGAATATCAATCCAAGGAGCAAACCACATTTATTGTCTATGAGAAGAGAATGTTGATTGGTTGGCAGATGGACGGTGATTAATAGAGGCATTGCTATGGAGCATGTATCAATTAACAATTAACTGCTGAAATTTTAAACCAGTGTGTGTGTTGTAATGTTCCCATCACTGACTCAGATCAAAGTTATAAGGAAAGAACGGGATCACTCTTTTGATTTTCATGTAGTCCTAGAAAATTATTTGATAGATCAACAATGTATTGGTATTATAACTAATACCATATGATAAAAAGTTAAAAAGAAGATTACAAAGAATAATTTGCATCAGTTACTCTTCAAAAGATTTTGAATTTTATTGCTTTAAGAATGATCTTTAATGTGCTTCTCTCCAATTGACAGCATTTCATAATTGTGTCACAGTTACATGTCACGGAGCAAATGTTGTAACTGAAATAAATATTTATTAAAGTATCAGAAGATTTTTATATTCATGTTAAACTTAATTTTGCTTTTAGGATTTGAAGCCCGGTAATTTGACTATAAATAAAGATTGTGGCTTGAAGGTAATTGATTTGTTTTGATTGTAAAATATGTTTTACTTTGTGTAGTTTTTATCTAACATCTGAGGTTTCAAATTGAATTTTCTATACTTTTAACTTCAAATTACAATTAATTTAACTGTAAAATATAATACAGTTGTAGACTGATAGTAGAGTGCAGAAACTTGTAACTTTTATCTAAAAACAATTCAGTTTCGTTTACATGGATATTTTGTAGTTATATGACATTTAACCAGGCTGTTTACACCATCTAGTTCAGGTTGCTGATTATTTTCAACATGAACAGTCGTCTTAATTCTGTCTGCTTGCTTTGGTCCCCTACTGTATCATTCCCCTTTCCTTTAACCACCTACCTAACCTATCCTCAATTGTTGACAAAATCTCTCTTCCTGTCACCAACAATGCACTTCACAAACTCTGAAACTTCTGTGTGAAGATAAATATTTTCCCTGTTCTATTCTTTTTATTACCATACTTAGTTAATCTTGACAATATTATGGGACTGTAAAACTGTCTACCCTATTTCAGTATCCATAATTTAAACCTTATATAAACCAGTAATCTCCTCTGGTTAATAAAAACAGCACCATTTTTAAAAAGAGATAGCAAGAACTGAAGATGCTGGAGTCAGAGATAACAAATTGTGGAGCTGGAGGAACACTTCTTCCCGAAGAAGGGTCCTGACCCAAAACGTCAGTTTTCCTGATGCTGCCTGGCCTGCTGTGTTCCTTCAGCTCCACGCTTTGTTATCACCATTTTTAAACATTTTTCTTTTGTATTTCCTCATAAAGTCAGCATTCTAGGGAATCTATGCTGTACTTCTGTATTGCGTCAACATGCTTCCTACAATGCCACATTCTCTTACATCTTGATTTTTATATCTAACACTTGCCATAAAACCAGTTAGCTTTCTTAAGGCCTTATCTTGAATAGCTGTGAACCTGAATCACCAAATCTCTCAACTTTTCCACAGCATCATTGCCCATTCAAAGAATAACTATGCTTTTTCTGCCTTCGTTTACAAAAAGAGACTACTTCAAATTTAATTTTATTGCCACTGGCACTTTTATTAATTTCATCCTGTGAACATATTCTTACATCTTGCCTCTGCCATTTGGTATTCAGCATTATTTACTTTGGGTGAAAGGAGAAGATGTATTGTAGCCAAATTTGCTTATTGATTGATTGTCTGGGAAGAAGAAACTCTCTTCTGAGGAAAGGCAATATCTATACTCAATAGATTGTAGAGAAATGAAAGATGATCTACTTCTAGGTGAGAATTCCAAACATTTCAATTTCAAACCCCTTGCTTTGAAACAATGCCTGCTCATTATATACATCCCTACAAGGGAAGTCATTCTCTTAGCATCCACCCTATCAAAATCTTCTACATTCCAGTAAAGTGGAGGTTGGGCGATTGAAATCTTCAAGGCTGAAATAGATTCTTAAACTATAAGAAAGCCTGTGTTTTGGGGAACAGACAGGGTGGTGTTGATACCAAATATAGGCGCAGGTTTAAGGGCTGCCTGGTATCCTACTTCCATTTTGTTTTATGATCTTACGTTATCCTTCCAACTCCTCTCATCCTTTTCTTATCTCATCTCCTTTTCATGATTCACGGTTTGATACAATTTCAAAGGTACTGACAGCCCTTGTTACCCAACAAACCATTCTCTGAAAGAGTCCAAGCATACTATGTAAGGTTTTCGTTGTTGATTCTCACTCATGATTCACTGCTGGTAGGTATGGCACATATCCATTTGTGGACCTGTCCTTAGCTATAGTTTAATTGTTACAATCAGGTGGGAAGGGGTAAATCTGCTCCTCTTTTCTTGACTGCCTTGGTTGGGTGCTATAAAAATTTAATAATTCTTTTAGCAAGCAGCTATGCTGCACTTTAATTAAAACACAGTTAACTAATTCACTAGAAATGTGAAAAAGAAACAAGAAAACGTCTTCCTGAGTGAAATGAAGAATCATTTTGTTTCTCGCTAAACCTTAGACAAATAGTGATGACAGAACATCAAATGCACACACTATCACAATCATAGGCTCAAGGCCGAAAATGGAATAATGTCTAGTACAAAAAGGAAGATAAAAGAATATTCAGTTTAATGTCCTCAGGGTATCCTTGAGGTATTAGGTTTTTACCTGAGATGGCTAGTGATGCCTTTGAGTACTCGGTGTTCAGATATTTCCACTATTTGTGTTGTCAGTGATTGCTTTGAGAGGGCTTCTTCCAGTTCTGCTGTTAGAACTCTATCTCCAGTGTTCTGCCCAAGCAGTTGGTTGAAATACACCTCACTTGCGCATTCTCCATGTTTAGGATCATTGTTTTCAAGCTAAATAATTCTGGGCAGGTCTTTTTTTCTCCAAAATGTGAAACTTATCATATAGATGTAAATTAAAAATAGGAGATTTGAGTCTTCACACTTGATGTATTTCAATATTTTCAGCTACAATGTATGTTAAATTCAGTTGAAATGAACTTGTTTATTTCATATTGATTTCCTGGGCCTTTGGTCAGCCTGAGGTCAGGTGACCATTGTGTCCATTTTTAAGTCTCTATCTTAATTTTTTTAAACCTTTTCAGTTTGTGAAAGCCCCATGCGTTAAAAACAGTTGATGGAACTCAAACATTGATAACGTCAAACGTTGATAGCCCTTACTTTGCCACTATCATGCCATAAGTGAATAAACTAATATTCTGCATTCATGTTCAGCTAAAGCGCTGCATCAATTCTGCTGATCAAAAAATGAGAAGAGCTCCTTTTTGTAATTCTGAACGTTCATCCCTTCAAAATTATTAAAAATTAATAGAATGAATCTTGTGTAAATGACTGGAATGTGATATACTGGTTGATTATTGGGTTAATTTATAGTTTTCTTTTAAAAAGGGACATTGATCTAACTGGAAAGATATATTTCAATTGGACTTGTATATTTTTCTGACACTATAGATCATTGACTTTGGTCTCGCAAGACACACAGATTCAGAGATGACAGGATATGTGGTCACACGATGGTACCGTGCTCCTGAGGTCATCCTGAACTGGAGGCACTATACTCAGACCGGTGAGTCCCCATCATGCTTAATCACAAAAAGTAATTAATTTCCAGGCTAAAATAATTCAATGATGGCACAATTGAAGCTTATTTTATATCCCAAGTTTAAAAGACATTGCTTTCAGTTGAGAACTGTAAATTCTGGAAATACACAGCAGGTTATTCAACATCTGTAATCACAAATAGTGACAAATTTTGTACTTATGTGGCACTTTTAATGCAATAAACTTGTTAATGTGCCTCACAGAAGCGTTATCAAATACAATTTGGTAAGACCCATATGGAGATTGTAGTTTGATCAAAACGTTATGTCTTAAGGAATGTATTAAAGGCGGGGAGAGAAGTGGCTATTATGGGAGGGAGTTTCAGGGTTTAGGGCTTTGACACCTAAAACATGACATGGTGAAGTGATTAAAATCAGAATTTCTCAAGATACCAGAATTAGAGGAGATCACAGAGGGACAAGGCTAAGAAAGGACTTGAAATCAATACAGTACAATACAATATAGCACAAGAACAGGCCCTTTGATCTACCAAGCAGGCGCTGATGCCTAATTCTTAATTAGACACGCTACTTACTGCCCACATGCGGTTTCTATCCCTCTGTTTGCTCCTGTTCATATGTCTGTCAAGATATACCTGAAATATTGCTTATGTACCTGCTTCCACCACCTCCACTGGCAGTGCATTACAGGCACCCACCACCCTCTGTGTGAAAAATTTTCCCCGCACTTCTACCCTAAACTTTTCCCTCTCTCACCTTGAACCTGTGCCGTCTTGTAGTTGACCTTTCCACCCTAGGAAAAAGCCTTTGATTATCCACCCTATCTATGACTCTCATAATTTTGTAGACCTCTATCAGGTCGCCCCTCAGCCTCCGTTTTTCCAGTAAAAACAATCTGTGTTTATCCAATCTCTCCTCAAAACTAAAACACTCCAGACCAGGCAAAATCCTGGTGAACCGTCTGTGCTCCCTCTCTAAAACATCCATGCCCTTGTGGTAGTATGGTAACCAGAATTGCACACAATATTCCGATGTGGCCTAACTAAAGTTGGATACTGCTATAACATAACTTGCCAAGTCTTATTTTCGATGCTCTGGCCAATGAAGGCAAGCATGCTGTGTGCCTTCTTGGCCACCCTCTCCACCTATGTTACCACTTCCAGGGACCTGTGAACCTATATGCCCAGATCCTTCTCTATGTTGATGCTGCTAAGGGTTCTGCCATTTATTGTATAATTCATGCCTGAATTTGACCTTCCATCTTGCATTTGTCCAGATTAAACTCCATCTGCCATTTCTCTGCCAAAGCTATCTATATCCCATTATATCCTTTTGACAATCCTCTTCACTGTCTGCAACTCCGTCAATTTTGGTGTCATCCACAAACTTACTAATCAGACCACCTGCATTTTCTTCAAGATCATTTATATATATTCCAAACAATATAGGTCCCAGCACTGATCCCTGT